CGCCGATATATTTAGTGATGTTAAAATTCACTGTAAATGTTGAATTGTTTAAAAAACTTAGGTTTGGCTTTGGTGGATTTTAAATTGGGTTTATTTAGGCAACATTTATTGTTAGTCTGCCTCTTTATGTCATATTTACAGACAGTAGGTTGGCTTAATGCCATTTTTGCATCACATTCTAGACACTAGTGATGGGTATTCCAGTTCTTTTTAGAGAACCGGCTCTTTTGGTTTTGCCTCCCAAGTGGCTCTTCAGATTGTTTTGTTGCAAGCAGGACTAAAGCACGTCTAAAGCACGTCTAAAGCAGGACTGAACCAGGTCTAAACCAGGACTGAAAAAGAACTAAACCAGGACTAAAACAAATCTAGACCACGTGTAAAACAGGACTAAACCAAAACTGAACCAGGACTGAGTGTCGGGACTCGGTCTCTATCTCGTGCCCAATATTAGTCCTGGTTTATTTATTTTATGCTAAACTACAGCCAAATATGCAAGTTTTTGTTTTGTTTTTTATCTTATGCACACGCAAATTTCTCAAAGTTTCATTTTCAGTCGCTGCCGCTGTCAAAGTACCACGAGTCTGCACGCGGCGTGAAGAGAAAAAAGGTGAGAGAAAGAAAACACGGCTCCCAATAAGGATCAGGCTCCCGTCGTTCGCTTCAAAGAGCCGGCTCTAAGAGTCATTTCGTTCGCGACCAACCCATAACTAGTAAAGAAACTAGCGCTATTAGCCTTTAGCCGTAAATACGTGTGCGCCGTGGTAATTAATTATATGCGCAAATGTCATAATTCACATGTCTGTTCACAGCTCATTTACATATCAGTGCAGGTCCAGTAACAAATATACGCCCAATGTAGTCACTGTACAATAGACCAATAGAAAACAGTCTGTTTATGTGCGGGAGCTACAGCAGCTAACCCATAACAAATGACCAAAACTAGCTTCAAAGTCGACATATTTCCAACACTCACCGCTCACACAGGCTCCTCCTCACATCACAAGTCTGCACTAATAAATGTCCTTTTAATCCAGACTCAAACCGATTGTCCGTAAAAAGAAAATAATCTCAATGTTTGGATCTATGTCTGCGAGTGTAAACAAACACACGTGAGTGACACGACTCTGTGGTGTGTTCAGGGACAGTACGGACACACACACAGAGAAATGACTCCACAGATAAATACTGATGTGGAGCCACATATTAGGACATTTATCTGTCTGTAAATTGGATTAAATGAACAGAATGTAGAGAGTCTAAGATTTTTAACGACATATCAGATGCCCATGTGAAATATCGGCCCCTATCAGCAAGCATATCGGCCGATAGCCAATATGCCTCCAGGTGCCCATATCGGCCAATAATATTGGTCAACCGATATATCGGTCGGGCTCTAATTTTATCCCATTTTCATGGACATCAGTGATGGCAACATTGACTGTCACAGGTAAGTTAGTTGGCTTACTACTACTCAATACTACTACTAGTAGTAGCATTAGGCTGTTCTAAGCGTTTGCCGTTAACACTGTGAATCAACAACTACTTATTTTACTCTACAGCACTGTCATAGTTGAAATAACTCTTTACTATGTTGAAACATATCTGGATTTTCTTCTCTTTACTCACAACAACACCAACACTGTGAACTTAACACTTTTGAATTTGCTGTGTATTATTACATTTTGATTAAGATTTTCCGGTGAGACAGTGAGTTTGGCCTTTGACAGCTCACCCACCAAAAGGTATAAGCTTTTTAAAGCCACATCTTAGCTGGATCTTGTTCTGTCTGTGTCTACTGTCTACTTGAGTGTGGAAACGTGCTTGGCCTGGTAATAAGTGAATCAAGTTTAGACCAACCACTATTTTATTGCTTTGTTTAATCTTAGTTAAAACTGAGGTTTTTGCTCTCAAAACTGATGCACCACTTTGCCTATAGTCAGTTCTGTTATGCTGAAGTGGGACTAAACACATAAATTTGACCCAAACCACATTTGAAATTGAGCTGCTAAACTGGGCAGTGCCTGGAGGAGTAAAGAGGAGAGTGAGGGGAGATGATGGGCGGGGTCTGGATATATAGTCCCACATTGGGGACAAAACTTACGCTTACGTCACAAAACCAGAAGACGTGCGGATGATGACTTCCTTTGGGCGCTGTTGGCCACAGTAAATCTGACAACGTCTAAGAAAACTGAGAAAATGGCCTGGGTTTCTTCATTTAGATGCCATTGTATTCTTCTTTTCATTTTATAAATTGCATATTAAGTTATTATAATTTGTATAACTGCAGCGTTCCATTATGTTTGGCAGTTGCAACCAGCTGCCTGTAAGTGACATGGAAGATGCGATTAGAGTCACATCCCCCATGGAAAGCTTTGGTAGACTGTGAAATCTGCTGAATCCATGGTCATTTATCATATCTAACCATTGTTGGTAACTACACCGGAAGTCGTCATCCTCGTGTTTCAAAACATCTTCTAGTAAACATGAATAGAGCCCATACATGTAACTTCATTTAACTTTTTATACATGAATTCAAGTGTGAGAATAGCTGTTGAACTTCCACATTAATGAAAAAGCTACTGGTGAATATTTACCCTTAATATTGGCTTAAACATTTAGTCTATAGGCTGTGGTTTAGTGCTATCAGCCACCAATTTTAGCCACTTAGATTTGCTTAGATTGGCAAGTCATTATTACCAAGAGGCAAACAGTTCAAATCCCACTGTCACATTGATTGATTGGTTATTACAGTAGAGAGGCCATTATAGCAAAATTACTATCACTACAAAGGAGCTTGAATGATGCATTTTTGAGTATTGGAAAATATAAAATGTTAACTTAATGAGCCATTATGTTGAGTTATGTCTTGATTGCGGTGATTGCAGGGTGCACAGGCCCATGTGAGTTGTTGTCGTTGAGTGACCACAGATGCTGCTGCAGATACACTGATATTTAAACACTGCTCTGTGTGAGATTGTGCAATTGTGCTGCTATAGCATGATTACATTTATTCAGTGTTTCTGCTCTCTCAGCTCATTGTCACATCGTAACAGCTGATTGTGCCTGGCATGTTTACTCACTGTTTACCACTGTAAGAAAACCAGCCCAGGTTGCATGAAGTGTTTGAATAAATTGTGTTTTATGTTAAATTTTGCCTGATGTTGCATTATTGTAAGGCTGAGAAGCACGGCATGCATTGCTTTGACGTTAGCTTGTTGTAGTCATCAAAAGTAAATGTTTTCCGAAAAGAATTACATCGTGTTCTGATTTAATGAATTATAGTGTTTAAAAACTAGAATAATGCATTTTAGTACATGTCTGGGGCAACTCACAACCACAGAAAACTGAGCTCTCCTTACATATTCTGTTTTAGTGTTGTTCAGTAGATTAATAATAGAAAACTTCTTGGAGGAAACAAGAACTTTGCACATAAATAACTGAGTAAAAGTGAAATCTCCACCACTGCCTGTGTGATAATAACAGGAGAAACAGCAAGATCACAGTTAACTCCCACACATCTTATTCAACTTTAGTCTGTAATGATCTTTTAGAGTAACACTTTCTAATTACTTTGCATTTTGATTAAATGAGGTGAGATCTTGCTTGTACTATGATTCCCTTTGTTTGATTGTTTGATTTTTATTGGTGTCTTATAGTATCACACTGTACTGTTAATTGATATATAATAAATGCTATTAAAACTATTTATAATGCGCATGTTAGGGCAAAGGGTTTGCTATTTAACTTTTCTTTTGGGGGGTCAGCCACCTGCACTGCAGTATGTATTTATCTTTAAGGAAACAAGCATTTTTGACACCACAGTAGCATACTGCAGGTCAGATCTGTGAAGAGGCAACTATGCTCACAGTGTAGTCTGTATGTTTTTCAATGTATTATGAGCAAGAAAAATGTGCAACTGAATAAATGCAATATAGATACTTTAAAGCTATACTGTGGAACATTCAAGGCAAAACAATAAAATCTCCATGGATACAAAGGATTAGACAAGCAGGCAGTAAACCTATGCCGCATAATGACTAAGTCCAGATGTGATACCTTTTCTGCAGAATAACTTTTATTGTATTCTCAGATTTCCAATGGTACATTTTCAATCATAAACTGTATAAAGAAGTGGACTAAGCGAGTGTGACATCATCCACAGTGTTCAGCTCCAGTCAAATGAAGCTCACAAGACTAGCAGTTATAGGAGCAAATAGGAATTTATTTACAGATAAAATAGCAAAATAAAAACACCAGGATCATGTAGAATGGGGCTCACAGCAGCAGATACAGAGAGAGGTGTGACTATCTATAAATTGTTTCAGCTTTATTCTGCCATCTCTTCCATTTATTTGGTTGAACTGTAAAAAAAGATCAGGTCACTTCCACAGGTACTTTTGTAATAGGTCAAGTCAAGTTATTCAGTATGGACAGTTCAAAAAAACTTCAGTACTTTTATTTTGTTTTGAATAATGTGATGAAATGGCTCTGTTAAAGCCCACAGCACAGTCACTAACTTAAGTAGGCACCATATGTTATGCACATACAAACATGTTCTGGGTCTCAGAAGACATCACAGCATTCTATAGGCCAATGTTATTTAATACAGATGGGGGGCTTCTAAAATTAATATTGTTCAACTGCAGATTTTTGTTGAAAAATAGCATGGTCTTCGGTTTAGTCAATAATATCAAATTATCCTGTTCTAAATTTGGAAATTTACTTTTCCGATATATCATGGTAAAGTACAATACAATTAATAGGAAAAACTGGCTCTTGCGGCCATCTGAGTATGACATCGCCACATTCAGGAATCTGAAGCCACCTGGAGAGGGAGTATCAGACTACGTTATTTTAATAGTGTTATTTAAAAGTGTTCACTCTATTTTAAAGTGGTGTATTGGTTTACCACAGCCAAAAGTATTTACTCTTTTTCCAATGTGTATACAAATATAAAAGGCACAAGACCATAATATTTGCATCTTTTCCTATGATTCAAGGACCTGAAGTTCAGCAAGAGCTAGAGCTGACTGAGAATGTGGAACAGACAAGCACAAGTCAACAATCAACCGATGAACACTCCCTTCTAAGGTAAAAGCACCTTCATTCCCCCTAATAAGAGGAACTCCTCCATTGACACCTACTGCAGATTAGTCGCAATGTATAATCCTTGATCATTCATCGTATGAAAGAGAGATGCAGAGGCAATTAAGCAATGCTACATTGTATAGAAAACTGGACAAGAAGCCGACCCTGGCATTCAAACGACACATCAGAACAAAACTGGACACCTTTTTAGAGAATGGTGACATCACTAAATGAGAATATGGATTCATGGTGGTTAACATTCAAGTCACACCAGTGCTCTATATTCTACCTAAAATTCACAAGCAATACACTGATGTTTCACCAGAGTGGCTAATTATATCAGCCACTGGTTCATTCACTGAAAAATCTCAGCTTATGTTGATTACCATCTTCAGCCTCTGGTCACATCTCTCTCTTCATATGTTAAAGTCTCTGTGGAATTTATCAAAATGCTTCAATCCATTTTAGTTCCAGGGGAGTGTTTGTTAGTTAGGGATATTGAATCTTTATACTCTAATGTACCTTTTGAAGGAGGATTAAAGGCTTTAGAATTTTTCCTCAGTTAAAGACTCAATTGCATTCCTAGCACAAAATTCATAGTTGATCTTATTGACACTGTACTTACAATTTCTTCATGTCTAGCTCTGATTTTTACTTACAGGTGTCAGGCACAAGTATGGGATCAAAGACGGCACCAAGTTTTGCAAACATCTCACGCAATCTATACCTGCCCCATGTCTCAAACTGGAAGAGATATATTGATGATGTTTTCTTTGTCTGGAGAGGTACAGAGTCACTCCTATATCAACTCCAACAAAGGAGTATGACAAGTTTAAAATGAACTTTTTAGACATTCTTGTGTGCAGAAACTCAGATAATCTCTCCACAAATTTATACTTAAATTATATTTAAGAGCACAGACAGGAACTCCATTCTCCATGGCACCTCTTTCCATCCAGCTTCACTCAAAAAAAAGTCTACCAATTTTCCAGTTCAGTCATATACAACACATTCGCAATTCTAACTCAGACTTTCAAAGTCAAGCTGATGATCTGGAGAAACAATTTAAACAAAGACAATACAAACAAGAGTGGATTGAGAGTGCCCGAAGTTGTTTCAGTGGCATAACACTGGCTCAGTGCCTCCAGCGCACCAGAGTTAATAAAACCGAATCAAGGATCCAGTGCAAACTTCAGTATTAACCAGTCAGCAGATTGTAAATGGTAAAAATCACAGAAAAACACTGGTACATAATACAATCAGATCCAACTTTGAATGGCTTCACATTGCCACCTCGAATCATCTATAAATCTCAGTCAAATGCTGGTGAGGGCCCACCTGCCATCAACCACTCGGGCCCACTTGCAGTTTCTCCCAGAGGGCAACTATCGTTGTGGACACTGTACACAGTGTAACTTCACTCATAAAACACAAAGGTTTAATCATCTCAGTACTGGGAAACCTTATAAAATCAAGAGTTATTACCTGCAACACTAACAGTGTGATCTATATGTTGAAATATCCATGTGGGTTGGCATACATTGGTAAAACAACTAGACCATTAAAAACAAGGATTGCTGAACATAGATCCAACATCCGTAACAACAATAGCAGTGTACTTTACTGAAAAGCAACACAATGTAAGGTCATCCAGATATGTGGGAATTGAACAAATAAAACAACCCAGTCGAAGGAGAGATGTGAATTCCATTTTTTTAAAAAGAGGCATTCTGGATTTACACTCTAGAGACTCTGGCTCCAAAAGGTCTCAATGAAGAGTTTGACCTGAGACCGTCTTTGTGACGTTGACGTCATCACTCCAGTCTGTGGCTATATGTGTGCCAATAATTATATTTTCATGTCTGCAGTTCTGATACAAATATTGTGGTCTTCTGTGCTTTTATTTGTATATAAAGTGTAAATAGTTAATATAAATAGTAAATATTTTTGGCTGTGTTAAACCTATACACCACTTTAAAACAGAGTGAACACCTGTTTTGTACTAAAAATTCCATTCAACAATTGTAATTTAAAAAAAAAAAATGTGTTGGGATTGAGTAGGCCTGAGTTTATATGTAACAGCTGCAAAACGTAACCTTTCATGTCTGAAGAAGGGCTTGACCCAAAACATTTTGTAACGTCATTGAAATAAAAATGTGGGAGCTTTAAAGAACTGCAGTGCAGCTCTTTCTTTTTTTGCACAATTTTTGTCTTTAGACCCAACACGCTGTCACAGTTTTTACTGATGTGATGTCTCTATCTACTAGTAACATTATTCATTAAATCACCAAAAACATCATTTTGATAACACCATCATCATTACTCAGGAATAGAACCCTGTCACAACCCATTTTTTTTTACTTTACCAAGGTTATGTTTTAGGCAAGATAGCTACTTAAATTTAATGTATTTACTTAAAACCAAGTTGTATTTTACTAGTTCCCCAATAACAGAAAAATTACACATACCAAATGTTATAGACAGTTTATCCCAAGTCTTACTTAACCATCTGAATCTGTGCACAGCCTGCTGCTCTCTGATTGTTTGTTCAGAGATGGGTAATCCTATTAATCCAGTGCTTAATCCCTGTGCTATATCAGATAGTTATACATTAGTCTATCTCTTCTTAGTCTGCTTCATGCAGGTGCAGTATGTATGGGCTAATTGTTTAACATGATGTGTGAAGTCGAAGGTAAAAAAAAAAAGAGTTATCTTTGAATTTGCCGGATCCTGCAGACCCCAGATTTATACACATACCAGGGATGACCATGCACCGTATCTGTTGATTTAAATTGTTCCACTTGAGACGAGGCTAAAGAGCATGTCAGATGTTGTGGATTATGTCTAAACCTGAAGTTGTGTTTTGTTTCATTCACACACATATGTTTAACACATAAACGCAGATGTGGTAAAACAAGAAGTGCTCCACTGTGTTTTAAACTTCATACACTTTGACTAGAATCATTATAGTTTCAAACTTGGAATTTCCAAACTCTGAACTAAAAGAAAAAGGGCTGTTAACTTAAACTACCACTTCATGACATCACAGGGTGGAACAGAGCAATTTGAGCTTTGGAGATGTAGACAGACTAATAATGAAAGGGTTGCTCAAACATGTGAATGAAACAGAACACAACTCCAGGTATGTTTTTTTGAGGAGCTAAAAGCTCAATAGAGTCAATTTTGTGTAATATATGGCCTTTAATGTGCATACTTGTCCTGATCAAATGAAATAAATACATAAATTAGCTAGTAAGGGCTTCAGTAAAATGTTCACACAAACACACAGAGACAACAGTCTTACATTGTTGTCCCTTAATCTTCATACACATTTTTTTTTGTATCTGTGGTTTCTTGTTAAATCAAGCTTGTGAAACATACAGTTTCCCAACCAAACTTGAATCGTTCTCACTTAAATAAATTACTTCTGAATGAGTTGAGATCAAATGCATCTTCATCTGAACAGCTTGAAGCCAGTTTGAGTAAGTGTCCCTCAGAGCCAATCCAGAAACATGTACATTATATCCTGAGATTTGACGAGACCCTGCACTTCCTCCTTCCCCTGTGATCCGCCCATCTGTACGTCTGCACTGTGTCGCTCAGCCTCCATCGAGCTCAGAACTCTCACTGAACCCTCATACATTATTCAAGAGCTCATATAATGTTGGCAAATTATTTTATATAGTGAGGAAAGATTCATCTTAGGAGCAGGAATTGGGTAGGGAGAGGCTAATGTGTTTATTATACCAAGATAATGGTATGAAATAGAGGCCAGGGGTGGGGAATTTAGAGGAGTGTTTATACTTTATATTCATTGGGGGCATCTTCTGAATGCCTGATGGTCACATGACGGCACATGTCTTTTCAGAGCCAGATGTGAATGTGTGTGTATTTGTGCATGTGTGTGTGCTAAGAGACATGAAGTGCTACAGTCAGCATTGCACTGTCTGGAGCAACTCACTCAATTCGTTCCATGCACGCCAGGAAAAGCAGATAACTGGCCTAGTCCAATTTGAATTTTTAAAATGCATGTAAACCCAAACAGTTTGCGATGCGCTGAGGAAAGGGGAGCAACAACTGAATAAACAGTAGCATCACACAATCTGTTATAAATGCATTTTTGTTTGTTTGTTTGTTTGTTTTAATAAAAGCCTAATAAAATGTAAAAATAAAACTGTCTTTCAGGGAGGCAGAGGAGAGGAAATTAAATTGCCTCTCCACTGCTCATGTTAAGACCGAGAGCCAATCAAACAGCCCTCAGTTCACATAAACAGGCTACGAAGACTGAACAATCTTGATATTATATTAGCAAATGCAATATGCTGTTCAGATTTTGGACCAATTCTCCCAACTGGCCTTCATCATCTAAATAGCACCATTGTAAGCATAGACCAAGTTCAGAGGACTATATGCTGAAAGTGAAACGTTCAGAGCCTCATGTCTCTCCTTACAACTCTAGAACTCTTTATATAGGACATTTATTTTCCCAAACAAGTAGTAGAACCATTTATTTAGCAGTGGGTAAATACATTTGGCAGATAATTTAGCAAAGGTTCATAAACTTTCCAATATGTCAACTGAGGCAATGATAATGCACTACAAAAAAGAAATGTGCAGTAAGTGCAATCGGCTGGACGAGAGAAGAAGCAATATATATAATCCAGACAAGGCTATCTGTAATGTATGGTTATCTGAAGGGTCTTTGTAGTAAAAACTAGAGATAGACTGATATATATCGGTTGGGCGATATACGGGGCCGCTATTTGGACTTTTTAAGCTTGATGGCTATCAGCCTGAAATCTTCTGTATAGATTTTGGTCAATTTTCTGCCAAAGAAATACACACAAAGCTTTTTTTTAATGCTTTAACCCCTTAATGCCTGAATTTATATAGATGCTTTGTGTGCGTTTTTGCCTTTAAGAAGTAGATGGTAAATTAAGTTGAAATTATTCATTTGACTATAGCAAAAAGAAATAAACAGAAATTTGGGTATGCTGCAAATTTGCAACAGCTAGAAACAAATGCTTGCCAAAGGTTCCTAGGAAGGTACTGCATATGCACTAACTGGCACTGGGGGATTTGCAGCTGCTGTCTCGGCTTGTATCTTGATCCAAATGGTTTGTCCCATATTTGTGACAGTCAGCGTTAAGGGCTTAATATGAAGAGATAACTGCACTAAATCTGATACACTGAGATACACTGAGATATACTTAGATCATTTTAATGCCACACTGAAACATTCTTAGCAGTCAAACTTCCATGGAGACAATCAAGTAGTAGATTCTCCACCAGAAAACTTACATAATGCACCTTTAAGATCCCTTTTTATTTATTTAGCATCATTTTGACTCAAGCATCTTTATCAGTCCTGTCCATATTGTTCTACTTCATATTTCAAATGTCCAAAGTGTCTGTAGACTCAGATGTTGTAATTACATTGCTGTGGATGACATCATACACAGAAACAGCATCAGCACTCTCAGCGGCAGGCCCTGTGGTCAGCTTTGTGCTTTTGTTTGCCCTAAATTAGCACTTCTTAGACTTAGTTCTCCATGAAATCCCTTCCGGTGACATGAGCCGGCATTGAAAGCAGTGGGGAAGAGGAAATAATGATGAAGAGTTGGGACAGGCAGAGGAGCGTGGGGTATTAACATTGGTTATTGCAGCTAATTTCACAGTGATCAGCTTGGGGAGAATTGTATGTGATTTAAATTGCATGATGGCCAATGTGTAGCTCATTAAACTGTGAGGGGGAGACAGAGTTTGTTTAGAACTGGAAAATTCAGCTTGCAATGTATTACTGAGAGATTAACAGCATTAGCACAATAAAGGGATTTAATAATAAGACACGTTGGATAACTAAAGTAGCGGCATGCAAAATGTTTGGTATTTGGTACAAGATTCTAATGTTGACATTCCGAGGTAGAGGACATGTGCAAAATTATAAAAAGATTTGATTTGGGAGGGTTGTGAAAAAGACCCAAGTCCCACTGGGGCAGTAAAAAGACATTTTTAAATAAACTGAAGATGCCTTTCCACTTTATTGTAAAATATAAAAATGAAAATCCTTTTTGCAAACACAGAACCACCTCCTCCTCACTTCAAAGGGACAAAGAGTGCACGAGAGCTGAAAGTCCTCCAGCACTTCTAATGGCTCTTCCCTGACTGTGAGCACTGGCTAAAAGCTGATCCCGCGGGTTTGGGCTGCCTGATCCCAGATTGTGTCAAAGATGGGCGTGGGAGTGAAAGGGAGCAAAAAGAGGAAAAAACACAGGAATCTTCGCCTGGTATGCTGCCGAAGATCAAAAAACGCCAACAAGCTGCAAAAGTGCCGGCTTCTTGTCAGTCATAATTGATCCTGAGACACGCAGGAAAGCAAGACGTGGGAGAGTGCACATCACACGCACCTCCTGAAAGGCTGGGGCCCTCCAGGACTTCACCAGTGTGCTCTGCTCTGGATTCTCATCAAAACTAGACTCCATCTCTCCCTCATCTATACTACGCTACATGCACAAAGATGCAGAGGCGTGTAGTATTGAGTTACAATTATGCAGTTAAAGTAATCTTTTTCAACAATTTGTACATAATCTAGTGAAAATATTACAGTGTATTATTGAAAGCAGCTTTTCATTCATGCTTGCATTTCAATATATAGTTTATGGGAAAGGGAAGAGACATCTCTAATCACACTTGTGCTGTACATTCATTTGTACACACTGGCATTCACAAATAACAGTGAAATGATAGGTAGGACAAGAACAAAAAGCTGCAATACTTTTGTCTGCTCAAGGGAGAAATTACCCATAATTGTTAGAAACAGGCTTCTATGAGTGCATTAGCAACCGCTTTTGTTATTCTTATACAAGAGAGACATTATCATAGATCTTAGGCTGTCACCACAATTATCTGTAAGGAAATCTGTACAAATACAGTTTCTTTTTAGGCTTTTGAATGTCAAGTGATTTTGAGCAAATTGGAGAAGTGTTACATCTGAGAGTCCTCTAGACTGTAAGTGATGCTATGTGCTCAGCCATATTAAATGGAGGAAAACATTTGCCTCTAACAATAGACTGGGCAAAAAAATACATTAATGCAAAATGGAAATTATGTTGTTCATGCAAATCATATTCTTTTGTAAAGACTCTCTAATATATTCTTTTATAAATAAGCAATGACTGATGGGCTCTATTTATAGGAATATAGACACTTATTACCCACTACTTT